GGTTATGCTTGCTTTGACTCGGTTCAATGTTGAACCACAACGTTTGTGGGTTGGCACACAAGAGACTATGACGTAGGAAGTGATGGACATGGTATCACAGATAGAAATATGAAAGATGCGGTAGAGACTAAATCTATTCGACTAAAAATAGTCGTGTTTGATCATAGATGTGATCCTTGAAACATGACTGCGTAATAATATGGCAGACTCTGATAAATATTTCCAGCACAAGGATGAATGGGAGTGAGAAGGCCAGCGTGGAGTGTGTAGGGTTCTCATGAAAGCCACTCAAAAGGGCAGATCGTACCACATTTAATTAAGCAAGTAAAATATTGTGATAGTGAAGGCATGATACGAGGATATAGGAAATGTGAATAGCTCAGGGCAGAAGGAGAGCTATCCCAACTGCTTGACACACGTTTGGTCAAATGATAGGCTTACTTGTCTCTTTGACGAGTTGTAATATGGTACTACGAATGACAAAACTTACTGACGATGCCGGCGAAACGTCTGGGAATGTACCACGTCTACGGTGCGAAATGATTATGCATACAATGGACTCAGGACAAGGTGAGTTCCTTTAAGTCTTCCTACCAATATGACCGAGTTGCGAAAACAAGGTCAAACAACTTCTATAAAGCATAATATTGTCTGAGAAGTATAGCAGCTTGCTCCACAAAATCAATTTGATTGACTTGCAAAACGCCCAAAAGGACAATCAATAAAAGTTTATGAAGAGACAAATCTCTTTTATTAAAGATACTAAAAAATGTCACTCTTTCAACTCAATCACCATATCAGGATCATAGAAGTCTAACAAATACTTCATCTAAAATCGTATGCTTTCGAATAAGGTGATCAATATCGTATAAGGCTAGGGCGTCCTATGATTAATTGCAGTAGAGGATGGGTTACATTTCATTCGTAATAATTCACTAAGCATTTATTGATCAAAATGGCGTATCACCCATTTAGCATAAATGAAATTGAGCATAAAAAGCAGATGGGGAAGAGCAAAAGTTCATCATTCCGCAATTGCTCGAGGCCGATTATCAAAGACAAAGCGGCTACTTTTGTAGCTGATTTGGTTGTGTAAATTAAATGGCTGGTTTTCTCAACCTGGCCTAATATAATGATTCTGGCGGTTGTATACAAAGGAAAATTTTATAATAAAATGCTTAACATGGACAAATCAACTCCTGATTATTAATAGTAATCAAATCAATCAGCATAGAAACGATTGCATTTTATTATTGAAAGTCACTTAATATGGTTATGTAACTACACACATGAAGATGCATTTACCTTAATTTCACTCGGAAGGCGTAGATAGTGTAGTTCTGGCTCCTGGGTAATCTGGTTAGTTTGGATGAGTATTTTGCCGAGGCTAACGTCCTTGCAAACGGCACATAAAGCAGGCTCTAAAGCTTCACCGGCTCGCAGAATCGAAACACCACAAATCTTGGTGCCAGGAACACGCCGACGACCGTGATAAGACACTGATTGAGGCGTATCAACAACCACATCCTGAGATAAGACAGTACATTGAACAAATATTAGGGCTCATATCGTGGTGTGATCAGATACACTAATAGACGGATGGTAAGAGAAGATCCGGATATCAATATGACGCAAGTCATCGTAGACCGATTAAGTCGCACCAAGTGTATAACTGGGATGGCCGTCTTAGAGTAACGAATACTGGATGTAATCTGGTGGAATCAAAAGATTTGGGTAGGTTACTAGGTAAGGATTTCTTAGTAGTACACAAGCTTATGAAGGTTCAAAGAAGTGTCCTATTGCCTTGAGTCAGATGCGAATGAACGAATATAGTTATCAAAAAGCCTACTGACCAAGTGCTTTAGTTGAGGTGCCGAAAATAGTAAAATAAGAAATACCTCATAAGGGAGGAGGTTCAATGCATATTCGAAAAGTGGCCTCATGAGGCGTTCAGCATAGAAGATGAAGGCGTCTTGGCCAGTCTCGCGGTTACGAATAAGTGTGTGCAATCCGCGCATCTGAAGACTCATTGGCAGCACGTGGATTCTGGGGGGAAGACGAGTTGGGTCGAAAATACCGGCTTCGAATCCAGCCTCTTTGGAAAATGAGGACCTGTTTGAATCATCAGGAGACAGAGCATCGGTATTATTGCTTTCAGCGCATGTACATATAAGTTCACAGGTGATATCGGGGCAGGAGTCACCCCAGGGTCCTGGTAGACAATCAACCAACTGCTTGTTTTCTTTTTTTCCCTTTAATATATCAGTTTCACCATTCCAAACTCGATGTCGGATAACATCGTCCTCGTTCCATAAGCAGCTACCATTTTGCATAGGTAGCCCATTAGGGCGACACGCATGACGCGGACATGGCTTGCTGGAAATAGGTCGTTCACTGTGCATCCAATTAGCCATCTTCGCACGGAGTCTACCGCTTTGCTGGAAGAGGGCAGAGACGGTTTGAAAAGAGGAGCCATATAATGTAATACTTAGAAATTAATAGAGAATCATATACATCA